TACTTCAACTGAAAAAAAAATAATTAAAGCAAGCATCCCCAAGGACTGCACTAGGGTGATATTTTGGATTTCCCTATATATTCTCTGAGCAACCAGTGACCTAAAAAAGAGGCACAGAGAGTTCTATCACTGCGCACCGCCAGACTTCTACAGACAATCACAATATGGTTCAGTTCATTGATAGCCTTAGTCCAGACTGCTTTTTCTATACAAATTTGTTTATCTTTGCTTGGTTCAATCAAGAATAAGCAAATCTATTAACTAATAATTTTCTTTAAAATATGTTTCCTCACTTAATTCACAGATGTGAAAAAAAATCCACAGTGTCATTTCTCAAAGAAACAGAGTCAATAAGCAAACTAGGGAATTTTTATAAAATGACATTTAAAGTGATTAACAAAATTTGCAAAATTTATATTGTCCAAAGTTTTAAAACTCCATATTGGTGGCCAAAAGTATTATGCCCTTTTGCCAGTTCTGTTTTTGCACAGGCTGCATATTATCATTTCAGTAGATAGCACAGGTCCTCATTCTGAAACAAGCTAATTTACTACAGACAGCACTGAAGCAGGAGTCAGAGGAATGGGACCACCCATTCTGGTCCTATGAAGGGGAAGCCCCAGATTAGGCTTAATCTATAAACATCAATTTCCTTCACTGCAAGATGGAAATTAACTCCCTCCCTCTAGACCATTCGATACAACTATGAGCAATGACAGCAGCAGCACGGTGTACAGTGCAGTGATTCAGCGTGCAGCATCATCAGCTGCCCCTAGTGGAATAACTGAGGCTTTGCTAATTAGCACACTGATAGCTAAAATGGGCGTTCACTGGTGAAACTAAAGGTATACAAGACACGTGGATTAGCTAAAATCCCTTAAAGATGCGCTGGCCCACCCAATCCCTTCCACAGGCAGAGCATGAGAACCCAGTGGAGTGAGTCCCTCTGGTTGGGATCTTTAAGGAGGCTGCCTGAGGCTTTGTCCTTCAATAGTCATAGGTTCAGCCTCTGGCAGTGCTGGATTTCTAGTTGCCTGGTGCAGACTGAGGGTAACAGATTCCTATCTCTGTGATGTGTTTGCATCAGTGTGGAGCACCTGTGAGGCAAGATATTGGTAGGAGTACCTCTAAGGACACAGAGCTAGGCAACCTCAGGTTTACACGGCATGCTTTTCAAACCATTTTGTTCCTGCTGGCCAATAAATATTTAATAGAAATCTACACAAGAGAGAGAATTAGATCAGAAACCGTGTCATTTTATCTGGTAGTAGAGTTATCCTATTACTTGTGTGGCTGCAAAACTTCCACTTTACACTGTTGGCCTAGGCAATATTATTACCAGCACCCCTTTCACTCTCAGAAGTACCCAGATGGATGAAAAAACGTGTGGATACTCTACCTAGTAGTGAGACTGGGGTTGGGGTGCACAAAGCGGAGCCTTATGAAATTTGAAATTCTTTTACACCTACTATTATCTACCAAAATGGACCTAAGAGTTGTGAATACCATACTGACTCCTGAAATATGAGCCAAATGTTATATAGAAAATTCAGTTTATTTTCACAAACTACAAACCTCTAGATACTCTCATAATACCAATTTCTAGGAATTACACTAGATTACTTAAAGAGATCCTCCCATAGAGAAAAATTTTAAATGCTGGTTAAAATACATTTGTAAAATGTCCTAAAAGACAAGAGAGAAGACAAGAGAGGAATGAGCATGCTAATCAAAAGGCAAGAGAGAACCCTGAGAAATGAGCCAGCTCAGAAACTGCCTTTGTCCTTGGTGTATTGGCCTGACCCCACAAATCTGAACTTTCTGTTCATAGCTTCATGGGGCCAGGGGCTAAATATTAAAGTTCAAGGCCCGTCCAATGATTTTAGCTCCTCCGATAATAAACTTGGACTCAAACAGCTACACACTCAGGGAAATCAGCTCACGCAGTGGACGAAGAGTTGCACAGCCTGACGGGGCTTCTATGATTTAAGGAGACCCTAAGCCCACGGTACCCCCCGCCTCTAGCACAGACTAGGGCAGATCCTCTCTGAAAGGCACTTTCATCCTAGAGTTTACATTATTCTCAGCCCTTGCAGTGGGATTTTTCAGAGGCAGCACACCAGTTTCATTCCCCCACCAGAAACCTGTAACACCAGGCGTATTCACAGCTGCCTTCCAGCGGCTCGCTGTAACCTTTTCACACCGCCTCCCGCCCCGCACGGTAAAGCCAACCTCTCTGCCCTTTGCACGTGACACTGAGGACTCTTCATGTGCCACTGTGGGAAACAATCTGTGTTCACCATCGAGTCTGAGCGGGACGTGGATACAGCGGCAAGACCACAACTAGACCTTTGGCACCTATGACCCAAACCTGCCACACGAATTACCCTAACACGGGACTTTAGAATAGAA